GAAAAGACAATTTCACTTTGCTGGAATGGAATCACACTGTCCCCCGTCACACAAAGCCACGGTTTGAAGTGGCTGAGTTAAGAAAAAACAACAACAAGGTCTCACATAGCCATGTAGGATGCACAGCTGATGTCCTTTGGAATGACCCACAGGTAGGAAGGACGGAGGCTTGGCATCACAGGAACAAGGTATACTTGGAACCACAGCTGGAATTCTTGTGCTCCAAAGACCTCTAATGCAGGCGCAAGGGTTGTCAGGCTTATGTTCAGTATGGTTTCTCGTACAGCTGCGTTTGTGATGAAGGTAATGTTTTTCTGAAAACAGAAGCATTCAGGTTGTAGTTCAAGAGCTCACCGGATCCCGGTTATGGGGCAGAAATGGATACGTCAAAAATTCTGTCAAAATTCATCGGGGGAAGGCCAACAGTTGACCTAAATGTTGGCCTTACATGGATCCACAACCCCTTCCGTGCCCCAGAAGGGGTTGTTTGCGTGTGGTTTGACAAAGAACTTTCTAGGGGAAAGGCGAGCAGGTTAGTGTGAAGAGCTCACCTTCTCGCTGATTTGTGCAAACGTCTGGAAGAACTGACTGAGCTGTTCGTCCTTGCCGGACAGATTCAAGCTGGTGAGCACCTCCCTCACGAAGTTGACATCCTCCAAAGCGCCGCTGTCTGGATCCAGTATTAGCTCGGCCTTCTGCTCTGTGAGAACGCCTACGACTGTTGCCTGATGATACAAACCAAGAACAAGAGCAAATGTGTCTTTGTCAAGGCACCAAAGAGCGAGCCCTGTGCAGACCCATTCGATTCCAATTGTTGGATCGTATTCGATCGAGAGGATCTCTGGTGAAATGCCTCAATTACCTGGGAGAGGTTGAAGGCTTTGAGGTCAGAGTAAGTTGTGTACTGAGAAAAGGGTCCCAGGTTTGTTTCAATCCATTCAACATCAGTCTCAAGTCCCATCCTGCAAGCTGAGGGACATATGCGTTTGTTAGAATAGGCACAATTTACACACAGCCCTATTTAAAGTCATCAGGCATTTGCAGGTTCATTTTTTGTTCTGGGTGCGCTTTCAACATAGCAGTTGTGCAACTGAAATCCATGTGGTGAAAGTCATTTTTTTCACCCCACCTGTCCTGTTGGTGACACTGGTAGAGTTTTGTAGGTAGGCCAGCAGAACAGAAGCGATTCCTTGTCGTCTAAGCAGGGGTATGGCAGGGAACACTTTGGCAATCCCGCTCACACTGCAAAGGTTGTAGAAAAACGTTTCTCACCCAGCACCTCACCAGTAGATTGTAACTAAATGTCTATGAATATGTTTCTTTACAATGCAACTCACACGATGTGGTAGTTTGCGCAGCTCATGCTTGATATGGTACTGTTGAGCATCTGTGGAGTGAAACTGGCAAGGATGGTAAGCAGTCTCTCGTGGAACCAAAGATACAACTCTCGCGAGCTGAAGCTCAGGAAATGTAGCCTTAGGATGTAAAAGGCTCGTGTCATCGCATGATCTCGGACGACCGTCTGGAACTGTAGGACCTTGCAAAGTATGACAAGCATGGTAAACTGTGACAAATGCAGTACAGAGCATTTTTAAAGATTGGAGCGAACAGAGTTGTGTAAATTGCTTCCGTCCAAAGTAGTGCAGACCAGTGATACCCACATGAGGCCTAAGATTGGTACGTCTTAAGACTGGTTGCCTGTGATTGGGACTGGGACCTACCTGTCCATTGACTGTGAGCTGTGTGAGGAATTTGTCCAGGTTTTCCAGAGCGTCACCCTTTTCAAGTCGCTCAAAGGCTAAATCAATCAGGGTTGTGTCGTTTGAGCTCCCTGTGCTTATTAGGAGCTGTGCCACTTGAGAGGGAGCCAGTTCTGACAATATTTCAATCTAGGATACAAGCAAAGCATATGGAGTCAAAACAGTCCCTCTTGCAAAGCAACGGGTCAAAAGATGTTGCTTTGTGAGCACCCATCGGAAGCCGTCGTTGGCACTTACGGGAGACAGGTGCGGGTTGAGGGTTGTCAAATCCTGGACGGTTGCAAAACCAGCAAAGCTGCCGAGGTTTGCCTGTAGCCAATCCTGACTCCCGTTGGCGGATAAGGTGCCAGGATCTGCAGAGAAGTCAGAAAGAGACACCGCTGTAAAACAACCTCCTTTGCCATCGAGAAGTTAGCGCGCGGATCCCGAGAGACTGGCTTTACCCGATGACTCCTTTCGTGACAGGAACGGTTTGATGAAATAAGTAAAGACTGCTCGCTGCTTGTCACTGTTCATGAGCTGCCTTTGGTTGCTCAATTCCTTGACGCTGCAATTTGAGGAACGGTAATCAGCACCAAAAAACATGAAGCTTTCTTTTCGCAGTATCTTCCTGTGTGAAACGAGATTTGTACTTACACAATCTGGTAGGTCAGGCAGCTGAAGTTGTAGGAGCTGAGGCAGAACAGGAAGTTTGTGGACGGGAGGCCAAGAACGGACCAATAACTCTCTGGACCAGATCCCCAATGACAGTCCTACTCTGTAGTTCTGCGTCACTGAGGTTGGCGAGTCGCACCTCTCTAAGGGCATCAAGGGCGTTCGATAAGGCCGGCCTGCTGTTGTTGGAGGTCTGCAGTTGAGAAAAATGATTAGACGCTGACGTCGCTTTGGAAGGAAGGTGAGCAAATTTGGAAATCAGCTAATGGATTTACCATGGTGGCAAATGTCTCCAGGGTGTCATTCAGGGAAGAGGGAACTTTCTGAAAGAAGAGCTTCCACGCTTCTACAGGGTATGTCGTTTGGCTTTCCAGCCAGCATTTCAGCAGTGTGGCCAGGTTTTGCGGCGCAAGCTGGTCAGCCTTAAAAACAGAAGAAAGGAGAAACGCAGAGAGACCCGTCAGAACTACCACATACTTTTTAGGGCTGTACTTAAACAACCTGCATTTTTCTCTCGAATTTAGAGAAAAATGCAAGTCTTACCATGGAGCAGGCATGTTCAGTGATGGTAAAAGAGCACAAGGCTGCGGAGGAGTTGTCGGCTGCCAGTGTTTGTTGGACTAGTGACCTGAGCCAAACAATGATAAAAAAAATAAATAAATAAATAGGTTGCCACCTTTTGAACTTTGTGTCAGAGAACTTGCAAACTTCACATTGGGTCTGTCAGTAAACCACCCACCGATTGACCTCGGCGCAGATGAGGTTCTCTGGAAAATGACCAGATTTTTGTATCAGAACGTGGTACTTGACATTCAAAATGCATTAGTCGGTGAACATCAGTGTCGTCTAATACTTACCATCGACAGCTGTTTCCTTGCACTGGGGCAAATAAGAGCAGCAAAAATGTTAGACTAGCGAATAAAACTAGCTGCGTCACAGATGTGTTCATTTTTCCACTGTTGCATACTTTATGCCGGAACAGTGATTGTAGCTTGAACATTTTCTAATCGTTCATCATTTGCCCTTTACATCTATGAAATGATCTTACCGTGAAAGGTTCTGGTGTCGAGCAACCTGTTCAACAACAAAAATGAAGTTAGCCACGGCTTCAATACATTGCTGTCGGGCACTGGTGTTTTTCAGCAAAACTCTAGTTTGGGAAGCTGTTTGGAAACCTACGTGGGAAAGTGTCTTTGAGGAACGCGATGCTTGAATTGACGCCCACTGACAGCTCCAGCGGGAGAGGGAATTTCAAATGTCTTCTGAAGACCGGTGACACTAAAGGAAAAGACAATTTCACTTTGCTGGAATGGAATCACACTGTCCCCCGTCACACAAAGCCACGGTTTTGAAGTGGCTGAGTTAAGAAAAACAACAACAACAAGGTCTCACATAGCCATGTAGGATGCACAGCTGATGTCCTTTGGAATGACCCACAGGTAGGCAGGACGGGCTTGGCATCACAGGAACAAGGTATACTTGGAACCACAGCTGGAATTCTTGTGCTCCAAGACCTCTAATGCAGGCGCAAGGGTTGTCAGGCTTATGTTCAGTATGGTTTCTCGTACAGCTGCGTTTGTGATGAAGGTAATGTTTTTCTGAAAACAGAAGCATTCAGGTTGTAGTTCAAGAGCTCACCGGATCCCGGTTATGGGGCAGAAATGGATACACGTCAAAAATTCTGTCAAAATTCATCGGGGGAAGGCCAACAGTTGACCTAAATGTTGGCCTTACATGGATCCACAACCCCTTCCGTGCCCCAGAAGGGGTTGTTTGCGTGTGGTTTGACAAAGAACTTTCTAGGGGAAAGGCGAGCAGGTTAGTGTGAAGAGCTCACCTTCTCGCTGATTTGTGCAAACGTCTGGAAGAACTGACTGAGCTGTTCGTCCTTGCCGGACAGATTCAAGCTGGTGAGCACCTCCCTCACGAAGTTGACATCCTCCAAGCGCCGCTGTCTGGATCCAGTATTAGCTCGGCCTTCTGTTGCTCTGTGAGAACGCCTACGACTGTTGCCTGATGATACAAACCAAGAACAAGAGCAAATGTGTCTTTGTCAAGGCACCAAAGAGCGAGCCCTGTGCAGACCCATTCGATTCCAATTGTTGGATCGTATTCGGTCGAGAGGATCTCTGGTGAAATGCCTCAATTACCTGGGAGAGGTTGAAGGCTTTGAGGTCAGAGTAAGTTGTGTACTGAGAAAAGGGTCCCAGGTTTGTTCAATCCATTCAACATCAGTCTCAAGTCCCATCCTGCAAGCTGAGGGACATATGCGTTTGTTAGAATAGGCACAATTTACACACAGCCCTATTTAAAGTCATCAGGCATTTGCAGGTTCATTTTTTGTTCTGGGTGCGCTTTCAACATAGCAGTTTGTGCAACTGAAATCCATGTGGTGAAAGTCATTTTTTTCACCCCCACCTGTCCTGTTGGTGACACTGGTAGAGTTTTGTAGGTAGGCCAGCAGAACAGAAGCGATTCCTTGTCGTCTAAGCAGGGGTATGGCAGGGAACACTTTGGCAATCCCGCTCACACACTGCAAAGGTTGTAGAAAAACGTTTCTCACCCAGCACCTCACCAGTAGATTGTAACTAAATGTCTATGAATATGCTTCTTTACAATGCAACTCACACGATGTGGTAGTTTGCGCAGCTCATGCTTGATATGGTACTGTTGAGCATCTGTGGAGTGAAACTGGCAAGGATGGTAAGCAGTCTCTCGTGGAACCAAAGATACAACTCTCGCGAGCTGAAGCTCAGGAAATGTAGCCTTAGGATGTAAAAGGCTCGTGTCATCGCATGATCTCGGACGACCGTCTGGAACTGTAGGACCTTGCAAAGTATGACAAGCATGGTAAACTGTGACAAATGCAGTACACAGAGCATTTTTAAAGATTGGAGCGAACAGAGTTGTGTAAATTGCTTCCGTCCAAAGTAGTGCAGACCAGTGATACCCACATGAGGCCTAAGATTGGTACGTCTTAAGACTGGTTGCCTGTGATTGGGACTGGGACCTACCTGTCCATTGACTGTGAGCTGTGTGAGGAATTTGTCCAGGTTTTCCAGAGCGTCACCCTTTTCAAGTCGCTCAAAGGCTAAATCAATCAGGGTTGTGTCGTTTGAGCTCCCTGTGCTTATTAGGAGCTGTGCCACTTGAGAGGGAGCCAGTTCTGACAATATTTCAATCTAGGATACAAGCAAAGCATATGGAGTCAAAACAGTCCCTCTTGCAAAGCAACGGGTCAAAAGATGTTGCTTTGTGAGCACCCATCGGAAGCCGTCGTTGGCACTTACGGGAGACAGGTGCGGGTTGAGGGTTGTCAAATCCTGGACGGTTGCAAAACCAGCAAAGCTGCCGAGGTTTGCCTGTAGCCAATCCTGACTCCCGTTGGCGGATAAGGTGCAGCCAGGATCTGCAGAGAAGTCAGAAAGAGACACCGGCTGTAAAACAACCTCCTTTGCCATCGAGAAGTTAGCGCGCGGATCCCGAGAGACTGGCTTTACCCGATGACTCCTTTCGTGACAGGAACGGTTTGATGAAATAAGTAAAGACTGCTCGCTGCTTGTCACTGTTCATGAGCTGCCTTTGGTTGCTCAATTCCTTGACGCTGCAATTTGAGGAACGGTAATCAGCACCAAAAAACATGAAGCTTTCTTTTCGCAGTATCTTCCTGTGTGAAACGAGATTTGTACTTACACAATCTGGTAGGTCAGGCAGCTGAAGTTGTAGGAGCTGAGGCAGAACAGGAAGTTTGTGGACGGGGAGGCCAAGAACGGACCAATAACTCTCTGGACCAGATCCCCAATGACAGTCCTACTCTGTAGTTCTGCGTCACTGAGGTTGGCGAGTCGCACCTCTCTAAGGGCATCAAGGGCGTTCGATAAGGCCGGCCTGCTGTTGTTGGAGGTCTGCAGTTGAGAAAAATGATTAGATGCTGACGTCGCTTTGGAAGGAAGGTGAGCAAATTTGGAAATCAGCTAATGGATTTACCATGGTGGCAAATGTCTCCAGGGTGTCATTCAGGGAAGAGGGAACTTTCTGAAAGAAGAGCTTCCACGCTTCTACAGGGTATGTCGTTTGGCTTTCCAGCCAGCATTTCAGCAGTGTGGCCAGGTTTTGCGGCGCAAGCTGGTCAGCCTTAAAAAAAGAAGAAAGGAGAAACGCAGAGAGACCCGTCAGAACTACCACATACTTTTTAGGGCTGTACTTAAACAACCTGCATTTTTCTCTCGAATTTAGAGAAAAATGCAAGTCTTACCATGGAGCAGGCATGTTCAGTGATGGTAAAAGAGCACAAGGCTGCGGAGGAGTTGTCGGCTGCCAGTGTTTGTTGGACTAGTGACCTGAGCCAAACAATGATAAAAAAAAATAAAAATAAATAGGTTGCCACCTTTTGAACTTTGTGTCAGAGAACTTGCAAACTTCACATTGGGTCTGTCAGTAAACCACCCACCGATTGACCTCGGCGCAGATGAGGTTCTCTGGAAAATGACCAGATTTTTGTATCAGATCGTGGTACTTGACATTCAAAATGCATTAGTCGGTGAACGTCAGTGTCGTCTAATACTTACCATCGACAGCTGTTTCCTTGCACTGGGGGCAAATAAGAGCAGCAAAAATGTTAGACTAGCGAATAAAACTAGCTGCGTCACAGATGTGTTCATTTTTCCACTGTTGCATACTTTATGCCGGAACAGTGATTGTAGCTTGAACATTTTCTAATCGTTCATCATTTGCCCTTTACACCTATGAAATGATCTTACCGTGAAAGGTTCTGGTGTCGAGCAACCTGTTCAACAACAAAAATGAAGTTAGCCACGGCTTCAATACATTGCTGTCGGGCACTGGTGTTTTTCAGCAAAACTCTAGTTTGGGAAGCTGTTTGGAAACCTACGTGGGAAAGTGTCTTTGAGGAACGCGATGCTTGAATTGACGCCCACTGACAGCTCCAGCGGGAGGGAATTTCAATGTCTTCTGAAGACCGGTGAGACTAAAGGAAAAGACAATTTCACTTTGCTGGAATGGAATCACACTGTCCCCGTCACACAAAGCCACGATTTGAAGTGGCTGAGTTAAGAAAAACAACAACAACAAGGTCTCACATAGCCATGTAGGATGCACAGCTGATGTCCTTTGGAATGACCCACAGGTAGGCAGGACGGAGGCTTGGCATCACAGGAACAAGGTATACTTGGAACCACAGCTGGAATTCTTGTGCTCCAAAGACCTCTAATGCAGGCGCAAGGGCTGACAGGCTTATGTTCAGTATGGTTTCTCGTACAGCTGCGTTTGTGATGAAGGTAATGTTTTTCTGAAAACAGAAGCATTCAGGTTGTAGTTCAAGAGCTCACCGGATCCCGGTTATGGGCAGAAATGGATACACGTCAAAAATTCTGTCAAAATTCATCGGGGGAAGGCCAACAGTTGACCTAAATGTTGGCCTTACATGGATCCACAACCCCTTCCGTGCCCCAGAAGGGGTTGTTTGCGTGTGGTTTGACAAAGAACTTTCTAGGGGAAAGGCGAGCAGGTTAGTGTGAAGAGCTCACCTTCTCGCTGATTTGTGCAAACGTCTGGAAGAACTGACTGAGCTGTTCGTCCTTGCCGGACAGATTCAAGCTGGTGAGCACATCCCTCACGAAGTTGACATCCTCCAAAGCGCCGCTGTCTGGATCCAGTATTAGCTCGGCCTTCTGTTGCTCTGTGAGAATGCCTACGACTGTTGCCTGATGATACAAACCAAGAACAAGAGCAAATGTGTCTTTGTCAAGGCACCAAAGAGCGAGCCCTGTGCAGACCCATTCGATTCCAATTGTTGGATCGTATTCGGTCGAGAGGATCTCTGGTGAAATGCCTCAATTACCTGGGAGAGGTTGAAGGCTTTGAGGTCAGAGTAAGTTGTGTACTGAGAAAAGGGTCCCAGGTTTGTTTCAATCCATTCAACATCAGTCTCAAGTCCCATCCTGCAAGCTGAGGGACATATGCGTTTGTTAGAATAGGCACAATTTACACACAGCCCTATTTAAAGTCATCAGGCATTTGCAGGTTCATTTTTTGTTCTGGGTGCGCTTTCAACATAGCAGTTGTGCAACTGAAATCCATGTGGTGAAAGTCATTTTTTTCACCCCCACCTGTCCTGTTGGTGACACTGGTAGAGTTTTGTAGGTAGGCCAGCAGAACAGAAGCGATTCCTTGTCGTCTAAGCAGGGGTATGGCAGGGAACACTTTGGCAATCCCGCTCACACTGCAAAGGTTGTAGAAAAACGTTTCTCACCCAGCACCTCACCAGTAGATTGTAACTAAATGTCTATGAATATGCTTCTTTACAATGCAACTCACACGATGTGGTAGTTTGCGCAGCTCATGCTTGATATGGTACTGTTGAGCATCTGTGGAGTGAAACTGGCAAGGATGGTAAGCAGTCTCTCGTGGAACCAAAGATACAACTCTCGCGAGCTGAAGCTCAGGAAATGTAGCCTTAGGATGTAAAAGGCTCGTGTCATCGCATGATCTCGGACGACCGTCTGGAACTGTAGGACCTTGCAAAGTATGACAAGCATGGTAAACTGTGACAAATGCAGTACACAGAGCATTTTTAAAGATTGGAGCGAACAGAGTTGTGTAAATTGCTTCCGTCCAAAGTAGTGCAGACCAGTGATACCCACATGAGGCCTAAGATTGGTACGTCTTAAGACTGGTTGCCTGTGATTGGGACTGGGACCTACCTGTCCATTGACTGTGAGCTGTGTGAGGAATTTGTCCAGGTTTTCCAGAGCGTCACCCTTTTCAAGTCGCTCAAAGGCTAAATCAATCAGGGTTGTGTCGTTGAGCTCCCTGTGCTTATTAGGAGCTGTGCCACTTGAGAGGGAGCCAGTTCTGACAATATTTCAATCTAGGATACAAGCAAAGCATATGGAGTCAAAACAGTCCCTCTTGCAAAGCAACGGGTCAAAAGATGTTGCTTTGTGAGCACCCATCGGAAGCCGTCGTTGGCACTTACGGGAGACAGGTGCGGGTTGAGGGTTGTCAAATCCTGGACGGTTGCAAAACCAGCAAAGCTGCCGAGGTTTGCCTGTAGCCAATCCTGACTCCCGTTGGCGGATAAGGTGCAGCCAGGATCTGCAGAGAAGTCAGAAAGAGACACCGGCTGTAAAACAACCTCCTTTGCCATCGAGAAGTTAGCGCGCGGATCCCGAGAGACTGGCTTTACCCGATGACTCCTTTCGTGACAGGAACGGTTTGATGAAATAAGTAAAGACTGCTCGCTGCTTGTCACTGTTCATGAGCTGCCTTTGGTTGCTCAATTCCTTGACGCTGCAATTTGAGGAACGGTAATCAGCACCAAAAAACATGAAGCTTTCTTTTCGCAGTATCTTCCTGTGTGAAACGAGATTTGTACTTACACAATCTGGTAGGTCAGGCAGCTGAAGTTGTAGGAGCTGAGGCAGAACAGGAAGTTTGTGGACGGGGAGGCCAAGAACGGACCAATAACTCTCTGGACCAGATCCCCAATGACAGTCCTACTCTGTAGTTCTGCGTCACTGAGGTTGGCGAGTCGCACCTCTCTAAGGGCATCAAGGGCGTTCGATAAGGCCGGCCTGCTGTTGTTGGAGGTCTGCAGTTGAGAAAAATGATTAGACGCTGACGTCGCTTTGGAAGGAAGGTGAGCAAATTTGGAAATCAGCTAATGGATTTACCATGGTGGCAAATGTCTCCAGGGTGTCATTCAGGGAAGAGGGAACTTTCTGAAAGAAGAGCTTCCACGCTTCTACAGGGTATGTCGTTTGGCTTTCCAGCCAGCATTTCAGCAGTGTGGCCAGGTTTTGCGGCGCAAGCTGGTCAGCCTTAAAAACAGAAGAAAGGAGAAACGCAGAGAGACCCGTCAGAACTACCACATACTTTTTAGGGCTGTACTTAAACAACCTGCATTTTTCTCTCGAATTTAGAGAAAAATGCAAGTCTTACCATGGAGCAGGCATGTTCAGTGATGGTAAAAGAGCACAAGGCTGCGGAGGAGTTGTCGGCTGCCAGTGTTTGTTGGACTAGTGACCTGAGCCAAACAATGATAAAAAAAAATAAAAATAAATAGGTTGCCACCTTTTGAACTTTGTGTCAGAGAACTTGCAAACTTCACATTGGGTCTGTCAGTAAACCACCCACCGATTGACCTCGGCGCAGATGAGGTTCTCTGGAAAATGACCAGATTTTTGTATCAGATCGTGGTACTTGACATTCAAAATGCATTAGTCGGTGAACGTCAGTGTCGTCTAATACTTACCATCGACAGCTGTTTCCTTGCACTGGGGGCAAATAAGAGCAGCAAAAATGTTAGACTAGCGAATAAAACTAGCTGCGTCACAGATGTGTTCATTTTTCCACTGTTGCATACTTTATGCCGGAACAGTGATTGTAGCTTGAACATTTTCTAATCGTTCATCATTTGCCCTTTACACCTATGAAATGATCTTACCGTGAAAGGTTCTGGTGTCGAGCAACCTGTTCAACAACAAAAATGAAGTTAGCCACGGCTTCAATACATTGCTGTCGGGCACTGGTGTTTTTCAGCAAAACTCTAGTTTGGGAAGCTGTTTGGAAACCTACGTGGGAAAGTGTCTTTGAGGAACGCGATGCTTGAATTGACGCCCACTGACAGCTCCAGCGGGAGAGGGAATTTCAATGTCTTCTGAAGACCGGTGAGACTAAAGGAAAAGACAATTTCACTTTGCTGGAATGGAATCACACTGTCCCCCGTCACACAAAGCCACGGTTTGAAGTGGCTGAGTTAAGAAAAACAACAACAACAAGGTCTCACATAGCCATGTAGGATGCACAGCTGATGTCCTTTGGAATGACCCACAGGTAGGCAGGACGGAGGCTTGGCATCACAGGAACAAGGTATACTTGGAACCACAGCTGGAATTCTTGTGCTCCAAAGACCTCTAATGCAGGCGCAAGGGCTGTCAGGCTTATGTTCAGTATGGTTTCTCGTACAGCTGCGTTTGTGATGAAGGTAATGTTTTTCTGAAAACAGAAGCATTCAGGTTGTAGTTCAAGAGCTCACCGGATCCCGGTTATGGGGCAGAAATGGATACACGTCAAAATTCTGTCAAATTCATCGGGGGAAGTCCAACAGTTGACCTAAATGTTGGCCTTACATGGATCCACAACCCCTTCCGTGCCCCAGAAGGGGTTGTTTGCGTGTGGTTTGACAAAGAACTTTCTAGGGGAAAGGCGAGCAGGTTAGTGTGAAGAGCTCACCTTCTCGCTGATTTGTGCAAACGTCTGGAAGAACTGACTGAGCTGTTCGTCCTTGCCGGACAGATTCAAGCTGGTGAGCACATCCCTCACGAAGTTGACATCCTCCAAAGCGCCGCTGTCTGGATCCAGTATTAGCTCGGCCTTCTGTTGCTCTGTGAGAACGCCTACGACTGTTGCCTGATGATACAAACCAAGAACAAGAGCAAATGTGTCTTTGTCAAGGCACCAAAGAGCGAGCCCTGTGCAGACCCATTCGATTCCAATTGTTGGATCGTATTCGGTCGAGAGGATCTCTGGTGAAATGCCTCAATTACCTGGGAGAGGTTGAAGGCTTTGAGGTCAGAGTAAGTTGTGTACTGAGAAAAGGGTCCCAGGTTTGTTTCAATCCATTCAACATCAGTCTCAAGTCCCATCCTGCAAGCTGAGGGACATATGCGTTTGTTAGAATAGGCACAATTTACACACAGCCCTATTTAAAGTCATCAGGCATTTGCAGGTTCATTTTTTGTTCTGGGTGCGCTTTCAACATAGCAGTTGTGCAACTGAAATCCATGTGGTGAAAGTCATTTTTTTCACCCCCACCTGTCCTGTTGGTGACACTGGTAGAGTTTTGTAGGTAGGCCAGCAGAACAGAAGCGATTCCTTGTCGTCTAAGCAGGGGTATGGCAGGGAACACTTTGGCAATCCCGCTCACACTGCAAAGGTTGTAGAAAAACGTTTCTCACCCAGCACCTCACCAGTAGATTGTAACTAAATGTCTATGAATATGCTTCTTTACAATGCAACTCACACGATGTGGTAGTTTGCGCAGCTCATGCTTGATATGGTACTGTTGAGCATCTGTGGAGTGAAACTGGCAAGGATGGTAAGCAGTCTCTCGTGGAACCAAAGATACAACTCTCGCGAGCTGAAGCTCAGGAAATGTAGCCTTAGGATGTAAAAGGCTCGTGTCATCGCATGATCTCGGACGACCGTCTGGAACTGTAGGACCTTGCAAAGTATGACAAGCATGGTAAACTGTGACAAATGCAGTACACAGAGCATTTTTAAAGATTGGAGCGAACAGAGTTGTGTAAATTGCTTCCGTCCAAAGTAGTGCAGACCAGTGATACCCACATGAGGCCTAAGATTGGTACGTCTTAAGACTGGTTGCCTGTGATTGGGACTGGGACCTACCTGTCCATTGACTGTGAGCTGTGTGAGGAATTTGTCCAGGTTTTCCAGAGCGTCACCCTTTTCAAGTCGCTCAAAGGCTAAATCAATCAGGGTTGTGTCGTTTGAGCTCCCTGTGCTTATTAGGAGCTGTGCCACTTGAGAGGGAGCCAGTTCTGACAATATTTCAATCTAGGATACAAGCAAAGCATATGGAGTCAAAACAGTCCCTCTTGCAAAGCAACGGGTCAAAAGATGTTGCTTTGTGAGCACCCATCGGAAGCCGTCGTTGGCACTTACGGGAGACAGGTGCGGGTTGAGGGTTGTCAATTCCTGGACGGTTGCAAAACCAGCAAAGCTGCCGAGGTTTGCCTGTAGCCAATCCTGACTCCCGTTGGCGGATAAGGTGCAGCCAGGATCTGCAGAGAAGTCAGAAAGAGACACCGGCTGTAAAACAACCTCCTTTGCCATCGAGAAGTTAGCACGCGGATCCCGAGAGACTGGCTTTACCCGATGACTCCTTTCGTGACAGGAACGGTTTGATGAAATAAGTAAAGACTGCTCGCTGCTTGTCACTGTTCATGAGCTGCCTTTGGTTGCTCAATTCCTTGACGCTGCAATTTGAGGAACGGTAATCAGCACCAAAAAACATGAAGCTTTCTTTTCGCAATATCTTCCTGTGTGAAACGAGATTTGTACTTACACAATCTGGTAGGTCAGGCAGCTGAAGTTGTAGGAGCTGAGGCAGAACAGGAAGTTTGTGGACGGGGAGGCCAAGAACGGACCAATAACTCTCTGGACCAGATCCCCAATGACAGTCCTACTCTGTAGTTCTGCGTCACTGAGGTTGGCGAGTCGCACCTCTCTAAGGGCATCAAGGGCGTTCGATAAGGCCGGCCTGCTGTTGTTGGAGGTCTGCAGTTGAGAAAAATGATTAGACGCTGACGTCGCTTTGGAAGGAAGGTGAGCAAATTTGGAAATCAGCTAATGGATTTACCATGGTGGCAAATGTCTCCAGGGTGTCATTGAGGGAAGAGGGAACTTTCTGAAAGAAGAGCTTCCACGCTTCTACAGGGTATGTCGTTTGGCTTTCCAGCCAGCATTTCAGCAGTGTGGCCAGGTTTTGCGGCGCAAGCTGGTCAGCCTTAAAAACAGAAGAAAGGAGAAACGCAGAGAGACCCGTCAGAACTACCACATACTTTTTAGGGCTGTACTTAAACAACCTGCATTTTTCTCTCGAATTTAGAGAAAAATGCAAGTCTTACCATGGAGCAGGCATGTTCAGTGATGGTAAAAGAGCACAAGGCTGCGGAGGAGTTGTCGGCTGCCAGTGTTTGTTGGACTAGTGACCTGAGCCAAACAATGATAAAAAAAATAAATAAATAAATAGGTTGCCACCTTTTGAACTTTGTGTCAGAGAACTTGCAAACTTCACATTGGGTCTGTCAGTAAACCACCCACCGATTGACCTCGGCGCAGATGAGGTTCTCTGGAAAATGACCAGATTTTTTATCAGATCGTGGTACTTGACATTCAAAATGCATTAGTCGGTGAACGTCAGTGTCGTCTAATACTTACCATCGACAGCTGTTTCCTTGCACTGGGGGCAAATAAGAGCAGCAAAAATGTTAGACTAGCGAATAAAACTAGCTGCGTTTTACACAGATGTGTTCATTTTTCCACTGTTGCATACTTTATGCCGGAACAGTGATTGTAGCTTGAACATTTTCTAATCGTTCATCATTTGCCCTTTACACCTATGAAATGATCTTACCGTGAAAGGTTCTGGTGTCGAGCAACCTGTTCAACAACAAAAATGAAGTTAGCCACGGCTTCAATACATTGCTGTCGGGCACTGGTGTTTTTCAGCAAAACTCTAGTTTGGGAAGCTGTTTGGAAACTACGTGGGAAAGTGTCTTTGAGGAACGCGATGCTTGAATTGACGCCCACTGACAGCTCCAGCGGGAGAGGGAATTTCAATGTCTTCTGAAGACCGGTGAGACTAAAGGAAAAGACAATTTCACTTTGCTGGAATGGAATCACACTGTCCCCCGTCACACAAAGCCACGGTTTGAAGTGGCTGAGTTAAGAAAAACAACAACAACAAGGTCTCACATAGCCATGTAGGATGCACAGCTGATGTCCTTTGGAATGACCCACAGGTAGGCAGGACGGAGGCTTGGCATCACAGGAACAAGGTATACTTGGAACCACAGCTGGAATTCTTGTGCTCCAAAGACCTCTAATGCAGGCGCAAGGGTTGTCAGGCTTATGTTCAGTATGGTTTCTCGTACAGCTGCGTTTGTGATGAAGGTAATGTTTTTCTGAAAACAGAAGCATTCAGGTTGTAGTTCAAGAGCTCACCGGATCCCGCTTATGGGGCAGAAATGGATACACGTCAAAAATTCTGTCAAAATTCATCGGGGGAAGGCCAACAGTTGACCTAAATGTTGGCCTTACATGGATCCACAACCCCTTCCGTGCCCCAGAAGGGGTTGTTTGCGTGTGGTTTGACAAAGAACTTTCTAGGGGAAAGGCGAGCAGGTTAGTGTGAAGAGCTCACCTTCTCGCTGATTTGTGCAAACGTCTGGAAGAACTGACTGAGCTGTTCGTCCTTGCCGGACAGATTCAAGCTGGTGAGCACCTCCCTCACGAAGTTGACATCCTCCAAAGCGCCGCTGTCTGGATCCAGTATTAGCTCGGCCTTCTGTTGCTCTGTGAGAACGCCTACGACTGTGCCTGATGATACAAACAACCAAGAACAAGAGCAAATGTGTCTTTGTCAAGGCACCAAAGAGCAGCCCTGTGCAGACCCATTCGATTCCAATTGTTGGATCGTATTCGGTCGAGAGGATCTCTGGTGAAATGCCTCAATTACCTGGGAGAGGTTGAAGGCTTTGAGGTCAGAGTAAGTTGTGTACTGAGAAAAGGGTCCCAGGTTTGTTTCAATCCATTCAACATCAGTCTCAAGTCCCATCCTGCAAGCTGAGGGACATATGCGTTTGTTAGAATAGGCACAATTTACACACAGCCCTATTTAAAGTCATCAGGCATTTGCAGGTTCATTTTTTGTTCTGGGTGCGCTTTCAACATAGCAGTTGTGCAACTGAAATCCATGTGGTGAAAGTCATTTTTTTCACCCCCACCTGTCCTGTTGGTGACACTGGTAGAGTTTTGTAGGTAGGCCAGCAGAACAGAAGCGATTCCTTGTCGTCTAAGCAGGGGTATGGCAGGGAACACTTTGGCAATCCCGCTCACACTGCAAAGGTTGTAGAAAAACGTTTCTCACCCAGCACCTCACCAGTAGATTGTAACTAAATGTCTATGAATATGCTTCTTTACAATGCAACTCACACGATGTGGTAGTTTGCGCAGCTCATGCTTGATATGGTACTGTTGAGCATCTGTGGAGTGAAACTGGCAAGGATGGTAAGCAGTCTCTCGTGGAACCAAAGATACAACTCTCGCGAGCTGAAGCTCAGGAAATGTAGCCTTAGGATGTAAAAGGCTCGTGTCATCGCATGATCTCGGACGACCGTCTGGAACTGTAGGACCTTGCAAAGTATGACAAGCATGGTAAACTGTGACAAATGCAGTACACAGAGCATTTTTAAAGATTGGAGCGAACAGAGTTGTGTAAATTGCTTCCGTCCAAAGTAGTGCAGACCAGTGATACCCACATGAGGCCTAAGATTGGTACGTCTTAAGACTGGTTGCCTGTGATTGGGACTGGGACCTACCTGTCCATTGACTGTGAGCTGTGTGAGGAATTTGTCCAGGTTTTCCAGAGCGTCACCCTTTTCAAGTCGCTCAAAGGCTAAATCAATCAGGGTTGTGTCGTTTGAGCTCCCTGTGCTTATTAGGAGCTGTGCCACTTGAGAGGGAGCCAGTTCTGACAATATTTCAATCTAGGATACAAGCAAAGCATATGGAGTCAAAACAGTCCCTCTTGCAAAGCAACGGGTCAAAAGATGTTGCTTTGTGAGCACCCATCGGAAGCCGTCGTTGGCACTTACGGGAGACAGGTGCGGGTTGAGGGTTGTCAAATCCTGGACGGTTGCAAAACCAGCAAAGCTGCCGAGGTTTGCCTGTAGCCAATCCTGACTCCCGTTGGCGGATAAGGTGCAGCCAGGATCTGCAGAGAAGTCAGAAAGAGACACCGGCTGTAAAACAACCTCCTTTGCCATCGAGAAGTTAGCGCGCGGATCCCGAGAGACTGGCTTTACCCGATGACTCCTTTCGTGACAGGAACGGTTTGATGAAATAAGTAAAGACTGCTCGCTGCTTGTCACTGTTCATGAGCTGCCTTTGGTTGCTCAATTCCTTGACGCTGCAATTTGAGGAACGGTAATCAGCACCAAAAAACATGAAGCTTTCTTTTCGCAGTATCTTCCTGTGTGAAACGAGATTTGTACTTACACAATCTGGTAGGTCAGGCAGCTGAAGTTGTAGGAGCTGAGGCAGAACAGGAAGTTTGTGGACGGGGAGGCCAAGAACGGACCAATAACTCTCTGGACCAGATCCCCAATGACAGTCCTACTCTGTAGTTCTGCGTCACTGAGGTTGGCGAGTCGCACCTCTCTAAGGGCATCAAGGGCGTTCGATAAGGCCGGCCTGCTGTTGTTGGAGGTCTGCAGTTGAGAAAAATGATTAGACGCTGACGTCGCTTTGGAAGGAAGGTGAGCAAATTTGGAAATCAGCTAATGGATTTACCATGGTGGCAAATGTCTCCAGGGTGTCATTGAGGGAAGAGGGAACTTTCTGAAAGAAGAGCTTCCACGCTTCTACAGGGTATGTCGTTTGGCTTTCCAGCCAGCATTTCAGCAGTGTGGCCAGGTTTTGCGGCGCAAGCTGGTCAGCCTTAAAAAAGAAGAAAGGAGAAACGCAGAGAGACCCGTCAGAACTACCACATACTTTTTAGGGCTGTACTTAAACAACCTGCATTTTTCTCTCGAATTTAGAGAAAAATGCAAGTCTTACCATGGAGCAGGCATGTTCAGTGATGGTAAAAGAGCACAAGGCTGCGGAGGAGTTGTCGGCTGCCAGTGTTTGTTGGACTAGTGACCTGAGCCAAACAATGATAAAAAAAAATAAAAATAAATAGGTTGCCACCTTTTGAACTTTGTGTCAGAGAACTTGCAAACTTCACATTGGGTCTGTCAGTAAACCACCCACCGATTGACCTCGGCGCAGATGAGGTTCTCTGGAAAATGACCAGATTTTTGTATCAGATCGTGGTACTTGACATTCAAAATGCATTAGTCGGTGAACGTCAGTGTCGTCTAATACTTACCATCGACAGCTGTTTCCTTGCACTGGGGGCAAATAAGAGCAGCAAAAATGTTAGACTAGCGAATAAAACTAGCTGCGTCACAGATGTGTTCATTTTTCCACTGTTGCATACTTTATGCCGGAACAGTGATTGTAGCTTGAACATTTTCTAATCGTTCATCATTTGCCCTTTACACCTATGAAATGATCTTACCGTGAAAGGTTCTGGTGTCGAGCAACCTGTTCAACAACAAAAATGAAGTTAGCCACGGCTTCAATACATTGCTGTCGGGCACAGGTGTTTTTCAGCAAAACTCTAGTTTGGGAAGCTGTTTGGAAACCTACGTGGGAAAGTGTCTTTGAGGAACGCGATGCTTGAATTGACGCCCACTGACAGCTCCAGCGGGAGAGGGAATTTCAATGTCTTCTGAAGACCGGTGAGACTAAAGGAAAAGACAATTTCACTTTGCTGGAATGGAATCACACTGTCCCCCGTCACACAAAGCCACGTTTTGAAGTGGCTGAGTTAAGAAAAACAACAACAACAAGGTCTCACATAGCCATGTAGGATGCACAGCTGATGTCCTTTGGAATGACCCACAGGTAGGCAGGACGGAGGCTTGGCATCACAGGAACAAGGTATACTTGGAACCACAGCTGGAATTCTTGTGCTCCAAAGACCTCTAATGCAGGCGCAAGGGCTGTCAGGCTTATGTTCAGTATGGTTTCTCGTACAGCTGCGTTTGTGATGAAGGTAATGTTTTTCTGAAAACAGAAGCATTCAGGTTGTAGTTCAAGAGCTCACCGGATCCCGGTTATGGGGCAGAAATGGATACACGTCAAAAATTCTGTCAAAATTCATCGGGGGAAGGCCAACAGTTGACCTAAATGTTGGCCTTACATGGATCCACAACCCCTTCCGTGCCCCAGAAGGGGTTGTTTGCGTGTGGTTTGACAAAGAACTTTCTAGGGGAAAGGCGAGCAGGTTAGTGTGAAGAGCTCACCTTCTCGCTGATTTGTGCAAACGTCTGGAAGAACTGACTGAGCTGTTCGTCCTTGCCGGACAGATTCAAGCTGGTGAGCACCTCCCTCACGAAGTTGACATCCTCCAAAGCGCCGCTGTCTGGATCCAGTATTAGCTCGGCCTTCTGTTGCTCTGTGAGAACGCCTACGACTGTTGCCTGATGATACAAACCAAGAACAAGAGCAAATGTGTCTTTGTCAAGGCACCAAAGAGCGAGCCCTGTGCAGACCCATTCGATTCCAATTGTTGGATCGTATTCGGTCGAGAGGATCTCTGGTGAAATGCCTCAATTACCTGGGAGAGGTTGAAGGCTTTGAGGTCAGAGTAAGTTGTGTACTGAGAAAAGGGTCCCAGGTTTGTTTCAATCCATTCAACATCAGTCTCAAGTCCCATCCTGCAAGCTGAGGGACATATGCGTTTGTTAGAATAGGCACAATTTACACACAGCCCTATTTAAAGTCATCAGGCATTTGCAGGTTCATTTTTTGTTCTGGGTGCGCTTTCAACATAGCAGTTGTGCAACTGAAATCCATGTGGTGAAAGTCATTTTTTTCACCCCCACCTGTCCTGTTGGTGACACTGGTAGAGTTTTGTAGGTAGGCCAGCAGAACAGAAGCGATTCCTTGTCGTCTAAGCAGGGGTATGGCAGGGAACACTTTGGCAATCCCGCTCACACTGCAAAGGTTGTAGAAAAACGTTTCTCACCCAGCACCTCACCAGTAGATTGTAACTAAATGTCTATGAATATGCTTCTTTACAATGCAACTCACACGATGTGGTAGTTTGCGCAGCTCATGCTTGATATGGTACTGTTGAGCATCTGTGGAGTGAAACTGGCAAGGATGGTAAGCAGTCTCTCGTGGAACCAAAGATACAACTCTCGCGAGCTGAAGCTCAGGAAATGTAGCCTTAGGATGTAAAAGGCTCGTGTCATCGCATGATCTCGGACGACCGTCTGGAACTGTAGGACCTTGCAAAGTATGACAAGCATGGTAAACTGTGACAAATGCAGTACACAGAGCATTTTTAAAGATTGGAGCGAACAGAGTTGTGTAAATTGCTTCCGTCCAAAGTAGTGCAGACCAGTGATACCCACATGAGGCCTAAGATTGGTACGTCTTAAGACTGGTTGCCTGTGATTGGGACTGGGACCTACCTGTCCATTGACTGTGAGCTGTGTGAGGAATTTGTCCAGGTTTTCCAGAGCGTCACCCTTTTCAAGTCGCTCAAAGGCTAAATCAATCAGGGTTGTGTCGTTTGAGCTCCCTGTGCTTATTAGGAGCTGTGCCACTTGAGAGGGAGCCAGTTCTGACAATATTTCAATCTAGGATACAAGCAAAGCATATGGAGTCAAAACAGTCCCTCTTGCAAAGCAACGGGTCAAAAGATGTTGCTTTGTGAGCACCCATCGGAAGCCGTCGTTGGCACTTACGGGAGACAGGTGCGGGTTGAGGGTTGTCAAATCCTGGACGGTTGCAAAACCAGCAAAGCTGCCGAGGTTTGCCTGTAGCCAATCCTGACTCCCGTTGGCGGATAAGGTGCAGCCAGGATCTGCAGAGAAGTCAGAAAGAGACACCGGCTGTAAAACAACCTCCTTTGCCATCGAGAAGTTAGCGCGCGGATCCCGAGAGACTGGCTTTACCCGATGACTCCTTTCGTGACAGGAACGGTTTGATGAAATAAGTAAAGACTGCTCGCTGCTTGTCACTGTTCATGAGCTGCCTTTGGTTGCTCAATTCCTTGACGCTGCAATTTGAGGAACGGTAATCAGCACCAAAAAACATGAAGCTTTCTTTTCGCAGTATCTTCCTGTGTGAAACGAGATTTGTACTTACACAATCTGGTAGGTCAGGCAGCTGAAGTTGTAGGAGCTGAGGCAGAACAGGAAGTTTGTGGACGGGGAGGCCAAGAACGGACCAATAACTCTCTGGACCAGATCCCCAATGACAGTCCTACTCTGTAGTTCTGCGTCACTGAGGTTGGCGAGTCGCACCTCTCTAAGGGCATCAAGGGCGTTCGATAAGGCCGGCCTGCTGTTGTTGGAGGTCTGCAGTTGAGAAAAATGATTAGACGCTGACGTCGCTTTGGAAGGAAGGTGAGCAAATTTGGAAATCAGCTAATGGATTTACCATGGTGGCAAATGTCTCCAGGGTGTCATTCAGGGAAGAGGGAACTTTCTGAAAGAAGAGCTTCCACGCTTCTACAGGGTATGTCGTTTGGCTTTCCAGCCAGCATTTCAGCAGTGTGGCCAGGTTTTGCGGCGCAAGCTGGTCAGCCTTAAAAAAAGAAGAAAGGAGAAACGCAGAGAGACCCGTCAGAACTACCACATACTTTTTAGGGCTGTACTTAAACAACCTGCATTTTTCTCTCGAATTTAGAGAAAAATGCAAGTCTTACCATGGAGCAGGCATGTTCAGTGATGGTAAAAGAGCACAAGGCTGCGGAGGAGTTGTCGGCTGCCAGTGTTTGTTGGACTAGTGACCTGAGCCAAACAATGATAAAAAAAATAAAAATAAATAGGTTGCCACCTTTTGAACTTTGTGTCAGAGAACTTGCAAACTTCACATTGGGTCTGTCAGTAAACCACCCACCGATTGACCTCGGCGCAGATGAGGTTCTCTGGAAAATGACCAGATTTTTGTATCAGATCGTGGTACTTGACATTCAAAATGCATTAGTCGGTGAACGTCAGTGTCGTCTAATACTTACCATCGACAGCTGTTTCCTTGCACTGGGGGCAAATAAGAGCAGCAAAAATGTTAGACTAGCGAATAAAACTAGCTGCGTCACAGATGTGTTCATTTTTCCACTGTTGCATACTTTATGCCGGAACAGTGATTGTAGCTTGAACATTTTCTAATCGTTCATCATTTGCCCTTTACACCTATGAAATGATCTTACCGTGAAAGGTTCTGGTGTCGAGCAACCTGTTCAACAACAAAAATGAAGTTAGCCACGGCTTCAATACATTGCTGTCGGGCACAGGTGTTTTTCAGCAAAACTCTAGTTTGGGAAGCTGTTTGGAAACCTACGTGGGAAAGTGTCTTTGAGGAACGCGATGCTTGAATTGACGCCCACTGACAGCTCCAGCGGGAGAGGGAATTTCAATGTCTTCTGAAGACCGGTGAGACTAAAGGAAAAGACAATTTCACTTTGCTGGAATGGAATCACACTGTCCCCCGTCACACAAAGCCACGTTTTGAAGTGGCTGAGTTAAGAAAAACAACAACAACAAGGTCTCACATAGCCATGTAGGATGCACAGCTGATGTCCTTTGGAATGACCCACAGGTAGGCAGGACGGAGGCTTGGCATCACAGGAACAAGGTATACTTGGAACCACAGCTGGAATTCTTGTGCTCCAAAGACCTCTAATGCAGGCGCAAGGGCTGTCAGGCTTATGTTCAGTATGGTTTCTCGTACAGCTGCGTTTGTGATGAAGGTAATGTTTTTCTGAAAACAGAAGCATTCAGGTTGTAGTTCAAGAGCTCACCGGATCCCGGTTATGGGGCAGAAATGGATACACGTCAAAAATTCTGTCAAAATTCATCGGGGGAAGGCCAACAGTTGACCTAAATGTTGGCCTTACATGGATCCACAACCCCTTCCGTGCCCCAGAAGGGGTTGTTTGCGTGTGGTTTGACAAAGAACTTTCTAGGGGAAAGGCGAGCAGGTTAGTGTGAAGAGCTCACCTTCTCGCTGATTTGTGCAAACGTCTGGAAGAACTGACTGAGCTGTTCGTCCTTGCCGGACAGATTCAAGCTGGTGAGCACCTCCCTCACGAAGTTGACATCCTCCAAAGCGCCGCTGTCTGGATCCAGTATTAGCTCGGCCTTCTGTTGCTCTGTGAGAACGCCTACGACTGTTGCCTGATGATACAAACCAAGAACAAGAGCAAATGTGTCTTTGTCAAGGCACCAAAGAGCGAGCCCTGTGCAGACCCATTCGATTCCAATTGTTGGATCGTATTCGGTCGAGAGGATCTCTGGTGAAATGCCTCAATTACCTGGGAGAGGTTGAAGGCTTTGAGGTCAGAGTAAGTTGTGTACTGAGAAAAGGGTCCCAGGTTTGTTTCAATCCATTCAACATCAGTCTCAAGTCCCATCCTGCAAGCTGAGGGACATATGCGTTTGTTAGAATAGGCACAATTTACACACAGCCCTATTTAAAGTCATCAGGCATTTGCAGGTTCATTTTTTGTTCTGGGTGCGCTTTCAACATAGCAGTTGTGCAACTGAAATCCATGTGGTGAAAGTCATTTTTTTCACCCCCACCTGTCCTGTTGGTGACACTGGTAGAGTTTTGTAGGTAGGCCAGCAGAACAGAAGCGATTCCTTGTCGTCTAAGCAGGGGTATGGCAGGGAACACTTTGGCAATCCCGCTCACACTGCAAAGGTTGTAGAAAAACGTTTCTCACCCAGCACCTCACCAGTAGATTGTAACTAAATGTCTATGAATATGCTTCTTTACAATGCAACTCACACGATGTGGTAGTTTGCGCAGCTCATGCTTGATATGGTACTGTTGAGCATCTGTGGAGTGAAACTGGCAAGGATGGTAAGCAGTCTCTCGTGGAACCAAAGATACAACTCTCGCGAGCTGAAGCTCAGGAAATGTAGCCTTAGGATGTAAAAGGCTCGTGTCATCGCATGATCTCGGACGACCGTCTGGAACTGTAGGACCTTGCAAAGTATGACAAGCATGGTAAACTGTGACAAATGCAGTACACAGAGCATTTTTAAAGATTGGAGCGAACAGAGTTGTGTAAATTGCTTCCGTCCAAAGTAGTGCAGACCAGTGATACCCACATGAGGCCTAAGATTGGTACGTCTTAAGACTGGTTGCCTGTGATTGGGACTGGGACCTACCTGTCCATTGACTGTGAGCTGTGTGAGGAATTTGTCCAGGTTTTCCAGAGCGTCACCCTTTTCAAGTCGCTCAAAGGCTAAATCAATCAGGGTTGTGTCGTTTGAGCTCCCTGTGCTTATTAGGAGCTGTGCCACTTGAGAGGGAGCCAGTTCTGACAATATTTCAATCTAGGATACAAGCAAAGCATATGGAGTCAAAACAGTCCCTCTTGCAAAGCAACGGGTCAAAAGATGTTGCTTTGTGAGCACCCATCGGAAGCCGTCGTTGGCACTTACGGGAGACAGGTGCGGGTTGAGGGTTGTCAAATCCTGGACGGTTGCAAAACCAGCAAAGCTGCCGAGGTTTGCCTGTAGCCAATCCTGACTCCCGTTGGCGGATAAGGTGCAGCCAGGATCTGCAGAGAAGTCAGAAAGAGACACCGGCTGTAAAACAACCTCCTTTGCCATCGAGAAGTTAGCGCGCGGATCCCGAGAGACTGGCTTTACCCGATGACTCCTTTCGTGACAGGAACGGTTTGATGAAATAAGTAAAGACTGCTCGCTGCTTGTCACTGTTCATGAGCTGCCTTTGGTTGCTCAATTCCTTGACGCTGCAATTTGAGGAACGGTAATCAGCACCAAAAAACATGAAGCTTTCTTTTCGCAGTATCTTCCTGTGTGAAACGAGATTTGTACTTACACAATCTGGTAGGTCAGGCAGCTGAAGTTGTAGGAGCTGAGGCAGAACAGGAAGTTTGTGGACGGGGAGGCCAAGAACGGACCAATAACTCTCTGGACCAGATCCCCAATGACAGTCCTACTCTGTAGTTCTGCGTCACTGAGGTTGGCGAGTCGCACCTCTCTAAGGGCATCAAGGGCGTTCGATAAGGCCGGCCTGCTGTTGTTGGAGGTCTGCAGTTGAGAAAAATGATTAGACGCTGACGTCGCTTTGGAAGGAAGGTGAGCAAATTTGGAAATCAGCTAATGGATTTACCATGGTGGCAAATGTCTCCAGGGTGTCATTCAGGGAAGAGGGAACTTTCTGAAAGAAGAGCTTCCACGCTTCTACAGGGTATGTCGTTTGGCTTTCCAGCCAGCATTTCAGCAGTGTGGCCAGGTTTTGCGGCGCAAGCTGGTCAGCCTTAAAAAAAGAAGAAAGGAGAAACGCAGAGAGACCCGTCAGAACTACCACATACTTTTTAGGGCTGTACTTAAACAACCTGCATTTTTCTCTCGAATTTAGAGAAAAATGCAAGTCTTACCATGGAGCAGGCATGTTCAGTGATGGTAAAAGAGCACAAGGCTGCGGAGGAGTTGTCGGCTGCCAGTGTTTGTTGGACTAGTGACCTGAGCCAAACAATGATAAAAAAAAATAAAAATAAATAGGTTGCCACCTTTTGAACTTTGTGTCAGAGAACTTGCAAACTTCACATTGGGTCTGTCAGTAAACCACCCACCGATTGACCTCGGCGCAGATGAGGTTCTCTGGAAAATGACCAGATTTTTGTATCAGATCGTGGTACTTGACATTCAAAATGCATTAGTCGGTGAACGTCAGTGTCGTCTAATACTTACCATCGACAGCTGTTTCCTTGCACTGGGGGCAAATAAGAGCAGCAAAAATGTTAGACTAGCGAATAAAACTAGCTGCGTCACAGATGTGTTCATTTTTCCACTGTTGCATACTTTATGCCGGAACAGTGATTGTAGCTTGAACATTTTCTAATCGTTCATCATTTGCCCTTTACACCTATGAAATGATCTTACCGTGAAAGGTTCTGGTGTCGAGCAACCTGTTCAACAACAAAAATGAAGTTAGCCACGGCTTCAATACATTGCTGTCGGGCACAGGTGTTTTTCAGCAAAACTCTAGTTTGGGAAGCTGTTTGGAAACCTACGTGGGAAAGTGTCTTTGAGGAACGCGATGCTTGAATTGACGCCCACTGACAGCTCCAGCGGGAGAGGGAATTTCAATGTCTTCTGAAGACCGGTGAGACTAAAGGAAAAGACAATTTCACTTTGCTGGAATGGAATCACACTGTCCCCGTCACACAAAGCCACGTTTGAAGTGGCTGAGTTAAGAAAAACAACAACAACAAGGTCTCACATAGCCATGTAGGATGCACAGCTGATGTCCTTTGGAATGACCCACAGGTAGGCAGGACGGAGGCTTGGCATCACAGGAACAAGGTATACTTGGAACCACAGCTGGAATTCTTGTGCTCCAAAGACCTCTAATGCAGGCGCAAGGGCTGTCAGGCTTATGTTCAGTATGGTTTCTCGTACAGCTGCGTTTGTGATGAAGGTAATGTTTTTCTGAAAACAGAAGCATTCAGGTTGTAGTTCAAGAGCTCACCGGATCCCGGTTATGGGGCAGAAATGGATACACGTCAAAAATTCTGTCAAAATTCATCGGGGGAAGGCCAACAGTTGACCTAAATGTTGGCCTTACATGGATCCACAACCCCTTCCGTGCCCCAGAAGGGGTTGTTTGCGTGTGGTTTGACAAAGAACTTTCTAGGGGAAAGGCGAGCAGGTTAGTGTGAAGAGCTCACCTTCTCGCTGATTTGTGCAAACGTCTGGAAGAACTGACTGAGCTGTTCGTCCTTGCCGGACAGATTCAAGCTGGTGAGCACATCCCTCACGAAGTTGACATCCTCCAAAGCGCCGCTGTCTGGATCCAGTATTAGCTCGGCCTTCTGTTGCTCTGTGAGAACGCCTACGACTGTTGCCTGATGATACAAACCAAGAACAAGAGCAAATGTGTCTTTGTCAAGGCACCAAAGAGCGAGCCCTGTGCAGACCCATTCGATTCCAATTGTTGGATCGTATTCGGTCGAGAGGATCTCTGGTGAAATGCCTCAATTACCTGGGAGAGGTTGAAGGCTTTGAGGTCAGAGTAAGTTGTGTACTGAGAAAAGGGTCCCAGGTTTGTTTCAATCCATTCAACATCAGTCTCAAGTCCCATCCTGCAAGCTGAGGGACATATGCGTTTGTTAGAATAGGCAATTTACACACAGCCCTATTTAAAGTCATCAGGCATTTGCAGGTTCATTTTTTGTTCTGGGTGCGCTTTCAACATAGCAGTTGTGCAACTGAAATCCATGTGGTGAAAGTCATTTTTTTCACCCCCACCTGTCCTGTTGGTGACACTGGTAGAGTTTTGTAGGTAGGCCAGCAGAACAGAAGCGATTCCTTGTCGTCTAAGCAGGGGTATGGCAGGGAACACTTTGGCAATCCCGCTCACACTGCAAAGGTTGTAGAAAAAACGTTTCTCACCCAGCACCTCACCAGTAGATTGTAACTAAATGTCTATGAATATGCTTCTTTACAATGCAACTCACACGATGTGGTAGTTTGCGCAGCTCATGCTTGATATGGTACTGTTGAGCATCTGTGGAGTGAAACTGGCAAGGATGGTAAGCAGTCTCTCGTGGAACCAAAGATACAACTCTCGCGAGCTGAAGCTCAGGAAATGTAGCCTTAGGATGTAAAAGGCTCGTGTCATCGCATGATCTCGGACGACCGTCTGGAACTGTAGGACCTTGCAAAGTATGACAAGCATGGTAAACTGTGACAAATGCAGTACACAGAGCATTTTTAAAGATTGGAGCGAACAGAGTTGTGTAAATTGCTTCCGTCCAAAGTAGTGCAGACCAGTGATACCCACATGAGGCCTAAGATTGGTACGTCTTAAGACTGGTTGCCTGTGATTGGGACTGGGACCTACCTGTCCATTGACTGTGAGCTGTGTGAGGAATTTGTCCAGGTTTTCCAGAGCGTCACCCTTTTCAAGTCGCTCAAAGGCTAAATCAATCAGGGTTGTGTCGTTTGAGCTCCCTGTGCTTATTAGGAGCTGTGCCACTTGAGAGGGAGCCAGTTCTGACAATATTTCAATCTAGGATACAAGCAAAGCATATGGAGTCAAAACAGTCCCTCTTGCAAAGCAACGGGTCAAAAGATGTTGCTTTGTGAGCACCCATCGGAAGCCGTCGTTGGCACTTACGGGAGACAGGTGCGGGTTGAGGGTTGTCAAATCCTGGACGGTTGCAAAACCAGCAAAGCTGCCGAGGTTGCCTGTAGCCAATCCTGACTCCCGTTGGCGGATAAGGTGCAGCCAGGATCTGCAGAGAAGTCAGAAAGAGACACCGGCTGTAAAACAACCTCCTTTGCCATCGAGAAGTTAGCGCGCGGATCCCGAGACTGGCTTTACCCGATGACTCCTTTCGTGACAGGAACGGTTTGATGAAATAAGTAAAGACTGCTCGCTGCTTGTCACTGTTCATGAGCTGCCTTTGGTTGCTCAATTCCTTGACGCTGCAATTTGAGGAACGGTAATCAGCACCAAAAAACATGAAGCTTTCTTTTCGCAGTATCTTCCTGTGTGAAACGAGATTTGTACTTACACAATCTGGTAGGTCAGGCAGCTGAAGTTGTAGGAGCTGAGGCAGAACAGGAAGTTTGTGGACGGGGAGGCCAAGAACGGACCAATAACTCTCTGGACCAGATCCCCAATGACAGTCCTACTCTGTAGTTCTGCGTCACTGAGGTTGGCGAGTCGCACCTCTCTAAGGGCATCAAGGGCGTTCGATAAGGCCGGCCTGCTGTTGTTGGAGGTCTGCAGTTGAGAAAAATGATTAGACGCTGACGTCGCTTTGGAAGGAAGGTGAGCAAATTTGGAAATCAGCTAATGGATTTACCATGGTGGCAAATGTCTCCAGGGTGTCATTGAGGGAAGAGGGAACTTTCTGAAAGAAGAGCTTCCACGCTTCTACAGGGTATGTCGTTTGGCTTTCCAGCCAGCATTTCAGCAGTGTGGCCAGGTTTTGCGGCGCAAGCTGGTCAGCCTTAAAAAAAGAAGAAAGGAGAAACGCAGAGAGACCGTCAGAACTACCACATACTTTTTAGGGCTGTACTTAAACAACCTGCATTTTTCTCTCGAATTTAGAGAAAAATGCAAGTCTTACCATGGAGCAGGCATGTTCAGTGATGGTAAAAGAGCACAAGGCTGCGGAGGAGTTGTCGGCTGCCAGTGTTTGTTGGACTAGTGACCTGAGCCAAACAATGATAAAAAAAAAAAAAAAATAGGTTGCCACCTTTTGAACTTTGTGTCAGAGAACTTGCAAACTTCACATTGGGTCTGTCAGTAAACCACACCACGATTGACCTCGGCGCAGATGAGGTTCTCTGGAAAATGACCAGATTTTTGTATCAGATCGTGGTACTTGACATTCAAAATGCATTAGTCGGTGAAACGTCAGTGTCGTCTAATACTTACCATCGACAGCTGTTTCCTTGCACTGGGGGCAAATAAGAGCAGCAAAAATGTTAGACTAGCGAATAAAACTAGCTGCGTCACAGATGTGTTCATTTTTCCACTGTTGCATACTTTATGCCGGAACAGTGATTGTAGCTTGAACATTTTCTAATCGTTCATCATTTGCCCTTTACACCTATGAAATGATCTTACCGTGAAAGGTTCTGGTGTCGAGCAACCTGTTCAACAACAAAAATGAAGTTAGCCACGGCTTCAATACATTGCTGTCGGGCACAGGTGTTTTTCAGCAAAACTCTAGTTTGGGAAGCTGTTTGGAAACCTACGTGGGAAAGTGTCTTTGAGGAACGCGATGCTTGAATTGACGCCCACTGACAGCTCCAGCGGGAGAGGGAATTTCAATGTCTTCTGAAGACCGGTGAGACTAAAGGAAAAGACAATTTCACTTTGCTGGAATGGAATCACACTGTCCCCCGTCACACAAAGCCACGTTTGAAGTGGCTGAGTTAAGAAAAACAACAACAACAAGGTCTCACATAGCCATGTAGGATGCACAGCTGATGTCCTTTGGAATGACCCACAGGTAGGCAGGACGGAGGCTTGGCATCACAGGAACAAGGTATACTTGGAACCACAGCTGGAATTCTTGTGCTCCAAAGACCTCTAATGCAGGCGCAAGGGCTGTCAGGCTTATGTTCAGTATGGTTTCTCGTACAGCTGCGTTTGTGATGAAGGTAATGTTTTTCTGAAAACAGAAGCATTCAGGTTGTAGTTCAAGAGCTCACCGGATCCCGGTTATGGGGCAGAAATGGATACACGTCAAAAATTCTGTCAAAATTCATCGGGGGAAGGCCAACAGTTGACCTAAATGTTGGCCTTACATGGATCCACAACCCCTTCCGTGCCCCAGAAGGGGTTGTTTGCGTGTGGTTTGACAAAGAACTTTCTAGGGGAAAGGCGAGCAGGTTAGTGTGAAGAGCTCACCTTCTCGCTGATTTGTGCAAACGTCTGGAAGAACTGACTGAGCTGTTCGTCCTTGCCGGACAGATTCAAGCTGGTGAGCACATCCCTCACGAAGTTGACATCCTCCAAAGCGCCGCTGTCTGGATCCAGTATTAGCTCGGCCTTCTGTTGCTCTGTGAGAACGCCTACGACTGTTGCCTGATGATACAAACCAAGAACAAGAGCAAATGTGTCTTTGTCAAGGCACCAAAGAGCGAGCCCTGTGCAGACCCATTCGATTCCAATTGTTGGATCGTATTCGGTCGAGAGGATCTCTGGTGAAATGCCTCAATTACCTGGGAGAGGTTGAAGGCTTTGAGGTCAGAGTAAGTTGTGTACTGAGAAAAGGGTCCAGGTTTGTTTCAATCCATTCAACATCAGTCTCAAGTCCCATCCTGCAAGCTGAGGGACATATGCGTTTGTTAGAATAGGCACAATTTACACACAGCCCTATTTAAAGTCATCAGGCATTTGCAGGTTCATTTTTGTTCTGGGTGCGCTTTCAACATAGCAGTTGTGCAACTGAAATCCATGTGGTGAAAGTCATTTTTTCACCCCCACCTGTCCTGTTGGTGACACTGGTAGAGTTTTGTAGGTAGGCCAGCAGAACAGAAGCGATTCCTTGTCGTCTAAGCAGGGGTATGGCAGGGAACACTTTGGCAATCCCGCTCACACTGCAAAGGTTGTAGAAAAACGTTTCTCACCCAGCACACACAGTAGATTGTAACTAAATGTCTATGAATATGCTTCTTTACAATGCAACTCACACGATGTGGTAGTTTGCGCAGCTCATGCTTGATATGGTACTGTTGAGCATCTGTGGAGTGAAACTGGCAAGGATGGTAAGCAGTCTCTCGTGGAACCAAAGATACAACTCTCGCGAGCTGAAGCTCAGGAAATGTAGCCTTAGGATGTAAAAGGCTCGTGTCATCGCATGATCTCGGACGACCGTCTGGAACTGTAGGACCTTGCAAAGTATGACAAGCATGGTAAACTGTGACAAATGCAGTACACAGAGCATTTTTAAAGATTGGAGCGAACAGAGTTGTGTAAATTGCTTCCGTCCAAAGTAGTGCAGACCAGTGATACCCACATGAGGCCTAAGATTGGTACGTCTTAAGACTGGTTGCCTGTGATTGGGACTGGGACCTACCTGTCCATTGACTGTGAGCTGTGTGAGGAATTTGTCCAGGTTTTCCAGAGCGTCACCCTTTTCAAGTCGCTCAAAGGCTAAATCAATCAGGGTTGTGTCGTTTGAGCTCCCTGTGCTTATTAGGAGCTGTGCCACTTGAGAGGGAGCCAGTTCTGACAATATTTCAATCTAGGATACAAGCAAAGCATATGGAGTCAAAACAGTCCCTCTTGCAAAGCAACGGGTCAAAAGATGTTGCTTTGTGAGCACCCATCGGAAGCCGTCGTTGGCACTTACGGGAGACAGGTGCGGGTTGAAGGTTGTCAAATCCTGGACGGTTGCAAAACCAGCAAAGCTGCCGAGGTTTGCCTGTAGCCAATCCTGACTCCCATTGGCGGATAAGGTGCAGCCAGGATCTGCAGAGAAGTCAGAAAGAGACACCGGCTGTAAAAAACCTCCTTTGCCATCGAGAAGTTAGTGCGCGGATCCCGAGAGACTGGCTTTACCCGATGACTCCTTTCGTGACAGGAACGGTTTGATGAAATAAGTAAAGACTGCTCGCTGCTTGTCACTGTTCATGAGCTGCCTTTGGTTGCTCAATTCCTTGACGCTGCAATTTGAGGAACGGTAATCAGCACCAAAAAACATGAAGCTTTCTTTTCGCAGTATCTTCCTGTGTGAAACGAGATTTGTACTTACACAATCTGGTAGGTCAGGCAGCTGAAGTTGTAGGAGCTGAGGCAGAACAGGAAGTTTGTGGACGGGGAGGCCAAGAACGGACCAATAACTCTCTGGACCAGATCCCCAATGACAGTCCTACTCTGTAGTTCTGCGTCACTGAGGTTGGCGAGTCGCACCTCTCTAAGGGCATCAAGGGCGTTCGATAAGGCCGGCCTGCTGTTGTTGGAGGTCTGCAGTTGAGAAAAATGATTAGACGCTGACGTCGCTTTGGAAGGAAGGTGAGCAAATTTGGAAATCAGCTAATGGATTTACCATGGTGGCAAATGTCTCCAGGGTGTCATTGAGGGAAGAGGGAACTTTCTGAAAGAAGAGCTTCCACGCTTCTACAGGGTATGTCGTTTGGCTTCCAGCCAGCATTTCAGCAGTGTGGCCAGGTTTTGCGGCGCAAGCTGGTCAGCCTTAAAAAGAAGAAAGGAGAAACGCAGAGAGACCCGTCAGAACTACCACATACTTTTTAGGGCTGTACTTAAACAACCTGCATTTTTCTCTCGAATTTAGAGAAAAATGCAAGTCTTACCATGGAGCAGGCATGTTCAGTGATGGTAAAAGAGCACAAGGCTGCGGAGGAGTTGTCGGCTGCCAGTGTTTGTTGGACTAGTGACCTGAGCCAAACAATGATAAAAAAAAAAAACAAAATAGGTTGCCACCTTTTGAACTTTGTGTCAGAGAACTTGCAAACTTCACATTGGGTCTGTCAGTAAACCACCCACCGATTGACCTCGGCGCAGATGAGGTTCTCTGGAAAATGACCAGATTTTTGTATCAGATCGTGGTACTTGACATTCAAAATGCATTAGTCGGTGAACGTCAGTGTCGTCTAATACTTACCATCGACAGCTGTTTCCTTGCACTGGGGGCAAATAAGAGCAGCAAAAATGTTAGACTAGCGAATAAAACTAGCTGCGTCACAGATGTGTTCATTTTTCCACTGTTGCATACTTTATGCCGGAACAGTGATTGTAGCTTGAACATTTTCTAATCGTTCATCATTTGCCCTTTACACCTATGAAATGATCTTACCGTGAAAGGTTCTGGTGTCGAGCAACCTGTTCAACAACAAAAATGAAGTTAGCCACGGCTTCAATACATTGCTGTCGGGCACAGGTGTTTTTCAGCAAAACTCTAGTTTGGGAAGCTGTTTGGAAACCTACGTGGGAAAGTGTCTTTGAGGAACGCGATGCTTGAATTGACGCCCACTGACAGCTCCAGCGGGAGAGGGAATTTCAATGTCTTCTGAAGACCGGTGAGACTAAAGGAAAAGACAATTTCACTTTGCTGGAATGGAATCACACTGTCCCCCGTCACACAAAGCCACGTTTGAAGTGGCTGAGTTAAGAAAAACAACAACAACAAGGTCTCACATAGCCATGTAGGATGCACAGCTGATGTCCTTTGGAATGACCCACAGGTAGGCAGGACGGAGGCTTGGCATCACAGGAACAAGGTATACTTGGAACCACAGCTGGAATTCTTGTGCTCCAAAGACCTCTAATGCAGGCGCAAGGGCTGTCAGGCTTATGTTCAGTATGGTTTCTCGTACAGCTGCGTTTGTGATGAAGGTAATGTTTTTCTGAAAACAGAAGCATTCAGGTTGTAGTTCAAGAGCTCACCGGATCCCGGTTATGGGGCAGGAATGCCCCATAACCGGGATCCGGTTATGGGGCATTTCTGTCAAAATTCTGTCAAAATTCATCAGGGGAAGGCCAACAGTTGACCTAAATGTTGGCCTTACATGGATCCACAACCCCTTCCGTGCCCCAGAAGGGGTTGTTTGCGTGTGGTTTGACAAAGAACTTTCTAGGGGAAAGGCGAGCAGGTTAGTGTGAAGAGCTCACCTTCTCGCTGATTTGTGCAAACGTCTGGAAGAACTGACTGAGCTGTTCGTCCTTGCCGGACAGATTCAAGCTGGTGAGCACCTCCCTCACGAAGTTGACATCCTCCAAAGCGCCGCTGTCTGGATCCAGTATTAGCTCGGCCTTTTGTTGCAGTGAAAGTTTTTCCAGGACTTCAAACTGTAACATGTTTTAATGCTTTTGAGATTAATTTTATATGGTCAGGTCTGCAATATTTTGGTCCTATATATTCTGTAAATATTTGAAAATCACTTACGGCAGAGAAGTTTTTGTTCATCTCTTTAAGTTCCTTAATAGTTGCAAATTCAAAAAAAATCCCAATGTTTTTTTGCAGCCATTCCTCACTTCCTGTACTTTTGTCTTTGCATCCAGGCTCTTGTAAAAGTAAATTGTTTAAAATTATAAAACACCGCATGATTTTATTTGAATATAGTTTTCTTTTTAGAATTTGTTCGTTAATTTTATGTGTTGTGTTTCATTTGAGTGTTCTACCATTTTTATGCCAATAAAAATTGAACAATCCTACCTGAGGTGTTTTTTCTTGACAGGAACACTTTGATGAAGTTACTGTAGATTAGTTCCCTGTCAACATCTTGAGTTTTCTGAAGTTCAGTGGACATAGATTCCATCCTTTAAAATATCAGCATATATATATTTTTTTATAAACTGATTCATTTTTTTCTTTGTTTAATATACATTTGTTCATATTTTCTGTCAAATCAAAATTCTGTAATGTTTTTTTTTCTTTTTTTTTTGCCCACTCTTGTATTCAAACTTAGTTTCTTAACTTAGTCATGAAGGGTGAACTCAAGAGTCTCTCGTAGGCTTTGCAGGAATAGTCAGACCAACCTTTCCTTGATTAGAGAGACTTAGACAGCCTTCTTGAGCTAGTTCTGTAGGAAGAACATCATTGGTGGTGGCAACAAGCAGCGCCCCCCATGTGGGCCCACTTCCTTGGTGGCAATTGAGGGCGGGTAACTTTTTGTGCTATTTCCCAGCAGTGTCATTGAGCTTTGAAGACATACAATGTCATCTCAGTGGTGGCTTAGAGCCACCAGAGAATGTCCCCAAAGAGAAATTAAAAATAAAATCAGGATTTACAGTTACCTTTCAACATCTTGACTTAAATCCAGAAAGATGAAAACTTTCCAATGTGACTAAAAAAGTGCAATTCTGCACAGACCTGTCATTCAAAATACCATCATGGTGGTTTAAAATTCTCACTGCTTTACACTGGGAACACTTTCTGGTAGTTGTTGCTGCCCAGTCAGCCAGAATCAGTTAAGGGGAAATAAATTGTTTCTTTACTACCAGATTGGTTTTGATATATTTGTATCTTCAATCTGAACCTTCAAAGTCACATAAAGACAATTACAGATGGCCTTCTGCCATCAGAGGAACATCTCCAGGATTAATGGACGAATGTCTCAGCAAGATCTAGAAAAAACCATCAATACTTTTATCTTCAGTTGCATAGATTACTGCAGCAGTGTCTTCACAAGTCTACCTAAGAAGACTTGTTCACAAGTCTTCTTAGGTAGACTTGTTCACAAGTCTTCTTAGGTAGACTTGTTGACAAGTCTACCTAAGAAGATAATCCTCCAGAAGCTGCTGCTCCTGTTCTCACTAGAACCAGGAAGATAGAGACATAACAGCAGTTTTAAAGTCCCTCCACTGGCTCCCTGTAGCTCAAAGAATAGATTTTAAAATACTGTTGTTAGTTTATAAACCACTGAACGGTTTAGCACCACAATACATCAAAGATCTGCTGTTGTTGTATCAACCTTCCAAAAAATTATGTAGCTACCTTTGCAACATTAGTAATAAATTTCCCCAACATCATGAATGCAAACTAATATATCAGAAATCACAATTTTAATTTACATACATTTGTTGGTAAGAAGTGCAGCTGATGTTCTGGTTGCCCAGTTGGACTAAGAAGCTTTGAGCCACATAAGGCAAAAGAGGAGCCATCTTCAGAGAGAACCACAGTCTGATGAATGTTGGGTCATGGTTGTCACCCAGACTTAGACTTTCCAGGACTCCAAATATGTCCAGAAGATCACCTCTGGATTGGTTGTCACCCTGTTATTTAAAATGAGTTAATTTGATATTAGTAAATGTTTTTTCCCTTCTGTGCATATTTGTTGGATATGTAATTTCAGTATTCATTCAAAGATATTTTATTGATCCAAATGGAAAATAAATATAACTCAATCATTCAGATTCTTTGTAAAGGGACAAAACAGAACCTGTTTAGAATTGTATTTGAAATGTAATATGTAACAATGTATTGCTTATTTCATGATGCATGACTTTGTGTTCTTGTGTTTATGATGTAAAGCACTTTGAAATGCCTTGCTGCTGAAATGAGCTATACAAATAAAATTTGATTGATTGATTGATACATGCATATATACATACAGTGATGTATGTAATCAGATTACTGACTAGCCCTTAAAAAATTTACTCAGATTACTGGTTACTTGATTCAGAAAGTAACTAAGTTACATTAAAAGTAAAGTTTTTAGTTACTTTCAGCAGCTGCTAACAACAACAACGCTCCAGCACACGTTCATTTGTGGCTGTTTTTCACATATATTGCGCTGTTCATGTTAGTGTCTGTGTTTGCAGTTTTCTGCAAACACAGATATTACTATTACCTTGACATTAACAAAGACACAGCGGGACGGATCAGCCGGGACGTGATGGACAGGGAGAGCCTGACTAAAACTACCTGGATGTCAGACAAATTCTGGAGCTGATTGTGTGTCCCTGCTTATTTCTCAGCACAATTAAGCAACGTCACTTTCAAAAACAAGCCCAAAAAATGCAACTCATTAAGTGAGTTGTTTAGAAAAAACAAGTGCAAAACTGCTTATAAAAATGAGACTAAAAAGAAACTCAAAATAGTTCCTTGTTTTCCAGCTACAAAATGTGCATCTCTCTCCTCCCGCCATTGTTTGTTTTTGTGGCTGGTGATTCTATCGCATAGAAACGGCGGTCACTCCAAGACGCAAAAAAAAGAAAAGTACAAAAGAAAATAGTAGTGCACAGTGATTTGCATAAATAACTTCAATCCAATTACTTTAAAAAAAAAAAAAGCAGCATGTTGGATTAATTGTTACTGAATAAAGTGGTCCATACAAAGATAAAATGGGACCATTTCCTCAGTTCAGTTTCGTTTATATAGTTCCAATTCACCAGTCAATTACCTGGATCAAGAAAGCTTTTAAAGACGAGTCCACTAAGTGCCGGATGTTTTGTTCCATTTCCAGAAACAGTTCCTCTGACAGGCTTGCATTCGCATCAGACCTTTTACAAGTAAGATCCCTTAGAAACACATCAGCTGCCATTGAAATCTAGAGAAAACAGGCAGAGAAAGTAATAATGTCTGAAACCAAACACAAGAGGGCGTCACTTCTGTGTGGTGACGCCACGCATTAATGCTGATGACGATACTAAAATGCTTACGCTGCGACTGGCATCCTGTAGATTTACGCCTTGGCAAGATCCAGGAATAGCATTGGTTGGAGTTGAAGCAGTGCTTTATTAACCATTGAATTAAACACATCAGATTAATTCATAAACTTTTATTCAGCTAAGAATAAATGACTTCAAACTATTAAGATAGATAAATTATGCATGCTGACCTGTTGTGAGGCGTTGGTAGATATTGAACTACACAAAATAAAAATCAGAAATGGCGTTACACAGGTACAGGTTGTTATTTGTACATTATTGTCTTTTATTGAATGAGGGTAGTTTTCATACCTTGTGTTGTGTTGGACTGAAAAGAAATTTACAGCACAAAAAAATTATTCAAGAAATGAAGATGTATACTTTTAGCTAGAAAAAAATAAAGAACCAAACTTACAGTTGTTAAGGCCAATGAGAAAATACAAGCTGTAGGGGTTGTAAGAAAATTATTGATTAAATCCAGATATTAGATCAATAACTTTGAAAATGAGTTTAGGGAAGCTCTTACCGATCCCAACCACCAAGAGCGGCAGAAGATGCGCTGAGGTTTGGGAGACCGCCATTGTCTGCAGGTCACCGTCTTCACTTTACTGATCTTCAATTTATTTTATTAGCATTTCACACCAAGATTGTTTCAACTCCTTAGAAAACACAAAGCAAACAACAGTGTAGGTAAGGACTGTGCACCTACTGCAGATCTAAACTTTCCAAATGACATTTATGCACAATTTTCTGGTAATTGATAGAAAAATAATTTCATATGAAACACATTTTCTTAATTTTCTGGTAGATTCCCCTTAAGAATTGAACTTGCAATTATTTCATATTATGTTGTAATATTTCAACTAACTATACAATATATGAAAACGAGAGCACATGATGTTTCTAATCACTGATTCATTCAAACTTCAAAGGCAAGACATCTTTCACCTTTGTTGTTTTTTGTTGTTTTTCACAATTGCAGGTCAAATTTACGTCAGTATTGTATGATGAAGAAAGAAAATGGAATCAAACTCACCTTGCTGCTTTGCTCTGTCACAGAAAAATGAGCACGAAACCTCAAATGTAAAACGGGTATATTCTGGGTGGAGCAACGAAATATTTGGCAAGGGAACAAAAGCATGAAGACACATTCTGGTTGGATAAAAGAACTTTGTGCATCTCCATCAATTTCAGAATAGAAATGTTACACAAAACAAAATGGGTGGCTGAAGTCAGGAGATTTTCATCATTTAAAATCCAGTGTTTTCCCAACTGAAAACATGAAGATAATAATATTAATAATAACTGCTTTATTTTATAAATTGTCCATAAAGCCCTCTAAGATTGGAGGGTGTTTTTTTTTCAAATTGGCCTCCTGGGTGAGTTTAAGGCCTGACTTTATTTCTATCACCTGATTCCTGTTAGTAGTCTTGTTGTTTAAAGCAGAGGATAAGTTTTTAATTAGAATATCATCTTGACTAATGTTGGACTATCATGTCCAGTTGGTGATTAAGATTATTAACAACTGAAAACACTTATGAACACCTGAACGTTTGGAAATCCAGTGCTTGCGACCAAATGAACGTTGACCTTAGGTGACCTTAGGTGACCTTAGGTGACCTTAGGTGACCTCATGCTCATGAGTTTCTGCTTGCAACTCGAGGCGATTCCAGGTTAGTTTTTGTTTCAAACACAGAGGGAGCCGAGTTCACCTCACAGTTTGGAAGGCTGCAGATTTCTGAGGGTCGATGACTTTTAGTCAAAGCGGTGAGAAAGTCGAATCTGATTTTGTTTCAACAGATTTAATTTACAGTGAATCTTTTAAGCTGGTTGTTTTTTTTCCATTTCATCTGTCCTTTGCATTATTTTCATTTACACCAAGCTCATTTCAATTCTTTCAGTTTTTCTTAAAATAACTTTTTAAAAAAATATTTTTAAAATTATTTTAAAAACTAATTGAAACAACGTAAAACACTTTGCAAAAGCATTTTTAAACACAGACATTGTTTCAAAATGTCTCCCAATGCTGTCCATTGATTTTCTTTAATAGAACCTAAAGCATGGAAGCTTAATCTTTCCATTATTATTTCAACACCAGGAATGGCTTTATTGCAGTTTCAGAGATATCATAGTAGTTTAATTAGAATTTTAAATAAATGTTCATCATCAAACCAATAGACATCATCAGCCGTTCTTCATAGAACTGAAAGTGGCTTTAATCCAACATGAGAGGAATTTGGGTCAGATTGTTCCTCCTGTGAAAGAAGCACCAGTAGAACCAGTGTGTTGGGTTCTGAAAGAGTCTACTTACAAGAACCATCATTCAGGCTCAGGCAGCAATTTTGAGCTGCAGCTCAACTCATCATACCGTTGACAAACAGACATGTTAAAAATCTGTGACGATGAAGTGGATCATGCTCTCTGTTTCCCACACTTGACTATATGAAGTGAAGACAACGTGTCACAGCACAATAGTCCAAAGAGGCGTCCAAAGAGGTCCAAAGGTCCTCTTAGGTCCAAAAAATTCACACCAAAAAGCATAAAGACAACGACGAGGTTAAAAAAAACAGATTTCCTTCAGCCTGCATGTTGTGAAGCCGTGTGACCAGCGACTGACCACATATGACTGTGGGAACAGAGCAGCGCTGAGGAACAGCTTTAGTGGCTTCAACAAGCCTGGATGAATGAGGTTAAAAGTTGGTTACCATTTTTATTCTTATCTTCAATATCCAGTCAGCTTTGCTTGTCTTTACAGAACCCGACTCACCCAGTGAGTTTTTTCCATGTTCAGCAGTTTAAATGATGAGAGCAAAACCACAACGATCCAACCGATCGGCTTCAAAATCTGAATAACAACTTGCATCTCTCCAAAGAGTGTCATGAACTTTGACATCTTAACGAAAAAACCAAAATATGTCCAACTCAAAATCAAGCAACAAACTAAAACACTGAAAAAGTTTTGTTTTGTGATCAATGAGTTAAATAACAGTAAAAGGAAACTCCACAAATAAAAACTAAACATGTTTTCATAGAAAGTAATTCCCATGAAATTATTGTCAAAGTCAAATACAAACAGCAAAATCAAAGTGGATGAACTACTGTCTGTTTTCATCCTTATTAAACTAAATGAGTTTAAAAGGCAGAAGTTTCTACCAATCTGTTGGCCATATTTCATTTGCTCCACAAATCTGGAACAAATTTCCAGAAAACAGCAAAACTGTTGAAAAACTGAGTTCCTTTAAATCTACTGTAGAAACACAGAGCTGATTTTAACCATGATAACTGACGGTATGATGTATTTATGATGTTTCAGTGATTTCTGTGAACCACCTTGGTGCTAAAATGTGCTATACAAATAAACTTAATTGAAAATTAACTTAATTATAATAATCTGGGGTGATTATTAACAATAATTGATCATCTAAGAGTGAGCTAGCCATTTTTTTAATAATAAAAAAAAAAGTTTTGTTGATGCTACTGATGTGTTTTTTTACATTTGGGTCTCCAGAAGTGTTTGAGTGACGCTTTTCATCCTGCATGTTGCCTGAGGAGGTTGTGCTGTTCCACCTCTGTAATTAAAATGCCACAGTGTGAAGCCGCCACAGGTGAGTCAGGCTGCAATCCTGGCCAGAGTCGCTGACTTCATTAGAAATCCTCCTCCTCAGCTCATCCTCTGAGGAGATTTTAATCTATACTGCAGCCGCTTTTATGCCAATTTTAAGAAGAATTTTAAGGAATCTGTAAAGATCTCTTAAAGTTATATTGCTAAATCTATAGAGTTAGCGTTTCCGTTGACAAGAAGGACTAATACTTTTGAGTAAGCTTGCATTCACTAACTCAGCATATTGATTATTTACCAAAAGAAACAAAAACCTTATGTACACAAAGAGGGTTCTTCTTATTGCCTATCACTTATTAAAGCAGTGGAAATTGCAGTAAATGTAGTCAATCTTTCTTACTAGTCACTAAGATGCAGAATTGACATTTAAATACAAACCCAGAGTGAGAAAAGCTGACCCCCCTGGACGTTGCACAGCTGCTGCTTCACAATGGGAGCCAGTTGTGCAACTCTTGTGTTGACGCTCATAAACAAGTTAATATTTAAACAAGTCTTTGGTGAATAAAGCCAACAATGACTAGATATTTTGCATCTGACTGTTGGGTGTTGACTGTTTAGACTGACTGCAATAAATCACTTTCTGAAAGATGCTTTATCTGTATCATATGTGTTAAACTCGAGGCCCGCGGGCCACATCCGGCCCAGCTTGCAATTATATCTGGCCCCCTAGATCATTTTATGTTATTGTTACTAATGGCCCATCCATATGAAACGCTGGTAACACAGTAAACTACAGATCCCATAATGCAGCACTTCAGCTGCCTTGCCAAGCGCTTTCTGTGGCAATAAAGTCCAGTGTCTGTTGCTGAAAGTTATTGAAGCTTGCCCCTCATGATGCTGAAAACAGGAAACAGAGCGTTTCAAAACCGATGGGAGGCTGAGTGTATCTTTACTGACATTGTCGGTAAACCCATTTGTCTCATTTGTGGCGCTAATGTGGCTATATTTAAAGAATTTATTCTAAGATGGCACTACGAGACAAAACATCACGATAACCTGAAAGACCTGATTGCAGAGCAGAAGGTACAACAAGTAGGAGAGTTAAAGAAGAATCTGACATTTCAGCAAACGCTTTTTACCCATGCAAGATCGCCAGATCAGATTCACGAAGGGAGGATTTCTGAAGAGCTGCATGATCCAGGTGTGCAACATCACATGTCCAAACAAAAAGCAGATGCTGGTAAGTGTTAGCTTGAGTAGAAATACATAAATATAATGTAAACACAGATACAGTACAGAGCAAAAGTTTGGACACAACCTTCTCATTCAAAGTGTTTCCTTTATTTTCATGACTATTTATATGGCAAGAAATCCACTTGCCATATAAATATGGTGACAAACAGGTGTGTCATTTCAGGTGACAACCTGTGAAGTGAAACCGTTTCAGGTCACGACCTCTGGAAGCTCATCAAGAGGATGCAGAGAGAGCAAAGCAGTGATCACAGTGAAACGTTGCGACTCTGAAGAAATTACAATATAAGGTGCATTTTCACTTGTTTTACACTTTTTTGTTTAGTACATATTTCCACATGGTTTAATTCATAGTTTGATGCCTTCAGTGTGAATCTACAATGTCAAATGTCATGAAAATAAAGGAAACTCATTGAATGAAAAGTTGAGTCCAAACCTTTGGTCTGTACTGTATGCTTGATGTTGTGCATCTTATTGTTAGAAGAACATTATATCAGATCTAGGGTGTGGACTGAGTTAAAAGTTTACAGAACCGGTCTGATGACACTCCAGTGAACATTACAAAAAAGATGAGTTGTCCTCCAGGAATGAGGTAGAGTAGCTGAGAACCTGGTTTCCAAACCTCAACGCCAACAAGGGCAAAATGGATTTGCTATTATTTCAGGAATGCATAATTGATGTGCCAGGTTCAACAACTCCAGCAACGATGGTCTTTTTCCTGGCTCAGCACATCTGGCTCAGCACATCTGGCTCAGCACATCTGGATCACATGACGTCTCGTTAACAGGCCTCTGCAGAACATAAAGTTAACGAGGCAGTAACTGTACCACAGAGCACAGAT